GACAGAGGAACTGAGGCTTCTGCCTGCCTGTCCCACCACAGCCCTTGTGGCCCCATCAGAGCTGTGATCCCTCACAGCCACAGCTCCTCCCTCACTGTCTGGGCACCCAGCCCACACCCCACCATTGATCCAGCCCCAGCACCTCGTCCTGTGCTGCTGGGAACAGGAGAACAAAAGTAAATCAATAATGATCTAAAGACTGCAGGCTACACACAGAGAGAAGGATAAAAATTGTTTCAAGGAAAGGTTTGGCAGAACCCCAAACCTCAACATACATTATCAAGGCAAGGAAAGTAAGTGGGGGAAAGAGATGATAACAGGATTACAAAAAGCATTCAGAGAAATAATCAGACCTGCTTCAAGTGCAGTTCTCAGAAGAACAAAAAGGTCAGCAAGAGACAGCAGATAAGCTATAAACAATGGCTAGAAAATCAGGCTGAGATGAGATAAACTCTCTTTCCAGTACCTAAAGGGGGCCTACAAGAGAGCTGGAGAGGGATTTTTCACAAGGGAGTGTAGTGATAGGACAAGGGGAAATCAAGCTGAAAGAGGGCAGGTTTAGATTAGATATTGAGAATAAATCCATTACTGTGCAGGTGCTGAGGTACTGACATAGACTGTCCAGAGAAGCTGTGGATGACCTGCCCCTGGAAGTGCTCAGGGCCAGGTAGGATGGAGCTTTGAGCAACCTGGTCTGGTGAAAGGTGTCCTTCATGGCATGAGTTTGGAATGAGATGATCTTTAATGTCATCTCTGATTCTAAGAAACTGTGTTAGTAGCCTATATTAGTTCACAGAAAAGATGATGCTGCAGGTTAACATTATCTATACACCTTTTTTTTTTTTTTATAATACAGATAAAAGAAACTAAGAATCTAACAGCTAGGCAATCAGGAACAGATTGGCCTCAGCAAGAAAAACACTCAACACATGCTTAAACTGCTCAAGTGATCACACTGGCACTGATAAGGCCCTCACAGGTTTAAAGTTAGACTAGTCCTTAAGTGCTTTATTGGATCAGAGCCTGGGGTACATATAGATTAGCAGAACAGTGAGCTGAATGCATCATATCAGCACATGTAAAATTATCAGGCACATTAGGTAAAGGGCCTACATTTTGTCCTCAACACAGCCTACATGTCACAGGAGATAATGGAATTGAATTTTGATATCAACTGCAACTGCTCAGATCAGGTGATGCTTAGGACAGAGTTACTTAATATTAAAATGTAAGTGCAACTGATGCAGAAAATCAGTGTATGTATCCTTTCTTTGTCACCAAACTGCCTGAGCAGCTAACAGGAACAGTAGGAGTTTACAGAAGGAGTTTAGTCCGCCACAGAAACAGAGTTACTGAAGCCTTTGGATTCCCACCACCTTCAAAATGTGCCTGGGTGGCAGAATAAAGCACATTAATGAATATAACTTCCACTGATCAAGTCTAACAAAATAATGACAAAAAAACCCCTCTTGCTCATTCACTCCATTTACAGTTGTTACATCCGAGTATACATCATTTAAATAGCACAGCCATTAAAAAAAAATTCAGATACAAGTTGACTTCAGAAAAATTAAATATTGGGAACTGTTAGGAATTACTGAAGAGGCTAAAAGCACCTATTTCTTGGGCTATTTACAACTGTTTGGAGCCAAAAGCTGATGGTGTACCAAGGAAATATCTGCTGCTTCAAGGATTTCCTCCTCCTCAGACATTCCTTTATTAAAGCCTGAAATTTACAGAGTAAATCAAAATGTTTGACTGTGAGCACCACAGGTAAAAGTGAAAGTCAAGCTGTGTAACTTATAATTTGTGCTCTTTCTTCTGCATAACAGAAATTCCCATCTGAAAATGCAGTTCCTCGTTCCAGCACCTCTCACGCCACAGTCTTCAATTTAGCCTCAGAAATAAAGGTTTTTCTGGACTAAGTCTTAAATTGCCAATTGCTCATGAAGCAGAAGAGACAAACACTTTGATCTTTCAGGTCAAGAAACATAATCTTTATTCTCCCTCCTTATCTAACAATTACTGCCTTCCATGAGGCTGACAGTGACTTTCATGCTAGAAATGCCTAACTTTAAAAACTAATTACTAATTCCACATTGAGACCATAGAAATTATTATCCTAAAAAATGAAAATATTTTGATGCCCACTGGTATTCACCGTAAGACTCAAAAGATAGACTTAAACAACTCCTCCATTTTTATAAACACTATATTGACTTTGGATGGGGGGTGTTAAGGCATGGGAGCACACTCAGGATTGCAAAAGATTTAGAAAATTCAGGTATTTCAGGCTGCTATTGCTACCTTTGAAGACAATAATGCAGTTACAGCCAAACCCTGCCATGAGATTTTAATGGTCTATACATCCTGAACTGCCTCAAACTGATGAGATGAGTCACCAGTAGGGATATATATAACAGTAACCATTACTACACTACCACACTGTTGCAATGCAACCCAGAATATTTCAGACTCTCAGTCTCTCCAGCAGAATCTTCTTCACAGTTTAAAAATTTTCATTATGAAGTATTACAAAAAAAAAAAAATCTAAGCCAAAAAAAATTTTATCTGAACAGAAGTCATGCTAGTTACCTTGCATTGCAAACATCAGTGTAGTTTTATATTCATTTTTGCTACACTATGAAAAATTGTTCATAATTCCTGTGGGAAAAAATTCTCCATCACTTCCTGCTTAAAAAACAGCATATTAAACAGCAGTACTAGAGGCTAAATAGCCACTTCAGCTATCCCAAACATGCAAAACCTTTCAGACTCACAACCCTAAATATGTGCCTATTTGTGCCTTCAAGCACTCACAGCACCTTCAAAAACATGCTTGGCAATAGTACAGGAATGTATAGAACTTGTGTGCATGTGGGGAGGCCTGGATGAAGCCTGAATCCTCCTGACAAAGGCAGTGCTGCAAATCTATGCCTTTCCAAGCAGGATAATGAGGAAAAAAGTCATGAACTGCACATGTACATGGGTCTCCATAATGACTTCCTTCCTTCTCTCTTTATCTCATAATAAACCTCCCCCTAAATACATGGTCCTGCATGTATAGCCCTGCAATCTCTGCTGGTGCTGCTGCCTGTTCCTCTGCAGAAACTCTGCAGCTAGAAACAGGGTTCTAGCCAAGAAAAAGCACAGCATTAGGGGATAAAAAATAAAAACAGAGAGAATTAAATGACTTGCAAACAACACATCACTTATGGGGAAGAATATTGGAAAGCTTTATGACTATTTTTTCTTTTAAATTTGGATATTTTGAAGAGAAACTAAACTGAAGACTGAGATAAAAATGGAAATTACACAGGGAACAACAACTGGACTTTGCAGACATAAGGTGCTGCACAGCTCATGTATTATGAATCCCAAACAAGAAGGGGTAACAACTGGATCCAGATTAGTCCCTATATTCTGGGGGTCATTCTTTCCCACCCTTCCCTAAGTAAAAACAGCACCCCAAAAGATCCCCATCTGCATACGCACAGTGTGATCACCCTGCTGCTTTGGAATGAACCAAACAGCAAGTGTAGAAGATGTCTACCTGCAACTAATCTGGCAGTCTGGATTGTCCAAGTGATATCACAAATATCCTGGGAAAACAGGCTGCTGAATGCTCACCACACTTCCTATGGACACAGTGTGTATTCACTGCCCAGGGGGAGGGAATTGCTCATTATCAGCTAAATATAACAGAGTCCATGCCCCCAGTGTTCACAGGTGCCATCACTTGCCCCCAAAGCACAGGTTGGACTGGAGAGGTCAAAGTAACAATTACAGTGGCAGAATGAGTTAAAACCACACTTGTAACCCAAACAGATTTCACTTTGTTTAAAGTAGAAGCCATAATTACAGCAGTATCCAGAATGTAGCCATTTCCATCAACAAACAAGTCCTTGGCTTGGGAAGTTACTAATTATTTTACCAGACCAAAAAAAAGTAATCTTCTAAACTCTTTCCTGAGATTAATTTTCTCTTGGGACATCTGCACATGTATGCCTAATTTCGTGTTGTTTCTCTGTGCTCTTTTTCTTCTGTCTTCTAAATACTTTTCTTGATGGACATTAAAAATACCCTGATTTTTTAAACTTCAGAAATACCCAAAGCTTGCTGCAAAACCAGACTTTTACTTTGTATCCCTGTCCTACCTATATTTGAACTATTCCAGTGTTGACACAGCCAACCAAAATGATCAACAAAGAACAAATCTCTGCCAAACGATGTCAGAGTTTCCTCTCATGTGAGCAACCAAAGGCTAACGTGGAAGTAATTAAAAACACCCTTAAAATAGAAACAGAAGCATGCAATGCAAATTGCCAGCACAATGAGGGGAAAATCTTTTCATCTTTCTTCAGTGATATTTTAAGCAATTGACACTTCCCTGCAGTCACTGTTCAGAAAACAACCTTCAGAGTTTGTGTTGACCAGTATCTTTCTAATGACTTCAAAGAACAGCTTGGAGTTTTGCTCCTGACGAGGCAAAGCTTCTTAGGTGGATTTTGAGCATTGTAAGCAGTATATTGGGCAAAACCATTCAATTACTTTTTCTATTAAGAAGTATGGGACTCATCTGCAAAACACAAATTCTTCATCTAATCTTGCACCTGACAGCTGAGACCATCTCCATAGCAACCATCACTAACACACTTGCAGCCAAAGGATAGAAAAACATTGGAGAAACCCACAATAACCTTGTACAGGAAATGCTATTTTGAAAATCCAGCATGAAATACAGATGAAATTTTGGGACTGTGGTGTTAATCTACCTTGCTGAGGGGGTTTTGTTTGGATGGGTTTTGTTTTTTTCTTTAGTTTGTTAAGATCATCAGCAAAAAACAAGCAGGAAACTTGAGGGAGATAATTCTTTAAGGATAACACTTTTAGGAACTTGCAGGAAAACAATCAGGTACTGATAATCATGGGGAAAGCTTTACATCAAGGTCTTGGATCAGATTTCACACAGTGGCATGTCTTTCCTTCTACTGGACAGCAAATGGGTGGAGCCAGTCAAGCAGACCACCTCTCTAGGATCACCTCTCTAGTTCCTTTTGGTAGCTCTGAACCAGACAGTTGGACCCCACTCCCTGCAAAAGCTGCAATGCCAAGACGGTACCAGACAAACTGCTGGAGTTAGCAATGAATAAACCGATGGTTTTACATCACAGAAAGACACAAAGAAAAGGAAGGTTGATTCAAAAGTTCAGGAAACACCTGGAAATTATCATTCTGCTTCTGCTTTATATTCTCACCACTTTGAGAGGCCACAGATTGTAGTCAGGACTGGCAGGACTTGCTTCTAACAGTACGCATACAAATTAAAATCAAAGAGAGGGGGGAAAAAAACACCCCAATTTCTGCAAAAAAGACCAAGTTTGACTTGGAGACATTTTTTTCACTGCCAAAGTACTCAACTACTACTACTTGTTTACAGCTGCTTACCATTCTGGCTGGAATAAGCCAATCTGCAAAACAGTAATTCCTTTGTGGGCAAATTGTGGCCAAGATTCTGCTTCCTTACTCTCACAGCTGAGAATTACAGTGAAGCTTTAGTTCAAGTAGAGTCAAATGCATAACAGCTCCTGATCTGCAAAGACTCTTCATAAAAGGAAACCCTACAGAGAGTAAAAATATGCAATTTTCAGCTGTTTTCATTCATTTTCTCAGTAAGAGAAAAAACAATGTCCTTGACTGACCTGCACATTTGGAATAATTACCATACACTTAGAAAATTTAAAGTCATCTGCTGGAGACAATTACATTGACTCCTACTTAGGATACAACTGAAGCCCCAAAATCTCATCCTTCCCAATCATTTCCATTCTGTTATGTGTTAATTACTGAGGACATTTTTAATACTGTCATTGCCACAGTCCACAGGTATGGTGCACAACATGCCAGTCACATACCAAGGCGTTGACATCCTCAGTTTTGTAGATCAACATCCGTATCTCTTCTGGATCACCACTGAAGATTGCCTGGACCAGTGGAGGCTGGAAAAACAAAACAGAAGCAGAAGTATTACAGGTTTGTTTATTTTCTGTTTAAACTGAGAGCATTTTACTCCTGCTAACAGTTGCTAAAGCTGCCCAGAGACATGGTGTGACCCCAGTCCTAAATGACCAGGAGTATCTCATTAGTAAGAGCTACCAGTTTGCTTGAGGATAAACTGAAATCATGAGCATGTTTGTACCTATAATGAACATGTGTGTGCACAAACAGGAACCCTCATTAGAACGGCAACTTTTGTCAACAACATGCAATTAGCCCAGATGTTCTCCCTGGCATGTAAGGGGAAAACTAATTACATCAGATAGTGCTGCATGCTTGCTCTTGGCACAGACAAATGGTCATGCAATACACATTTAGAAACAGAGCATTATGCAGATAATGAATTTCTGGGCAATCACTAAACAACTTGTATTTTTTCCCTGAATAAATACGCAATGAGCGCAGTTAATTTTAACCACCCAAGAAGCGAAGTAATTATCTTATTGTCTCAAGTCTGTTATTATGCTATTATGAATGGGAATGCAGAAATAAATAACCAGGCCCACAGGAGAAACAATGTGCCATGCTTGCTCCTCTCCAACGCTGGCGTCACCGCCGGGCAGCGGGAGGGAGCTCTGCGTGCGCTCAGAGCTGCGATACTCAGCCAGAGCTGGTGACTTCAGCCCTTCCGACCACCTTGGCAGCAAATATCTGAGTTAGTAACCAAACTGGCAGCACACTGAACTAAAAGAAGAAAAACTGTGCTGCTGGAGGCTCGGGAAAAGAAGGGAACAATTCACAAATATCCCTATCCCATAAAGCACGTGGTTGAAACAGGCCCCACTTTCACCAGCACCCTCCTGAAGACAGTGTATGCTCCCCAAGTCTCACTCCTGGTTGCCTCATGGTCCTACTGGCAAAAAGGAGTTTGTGGTGCCATGCAATCACCAGAATCTAAAATAATCCTGTAAAATGGCAGCATGGATGACTACTTAGGCACATAAAACTGCAACAGTTCTTGAGATTCTACAGAACTTAACTGTCTTGTAAGCAGGCAATCTTTAAATTCACAAAACAGGCTGAAAGAACAAAGAAAATACCATTTCTTCCCTATCTTTTCTTATTAAAATGTGGAAAATACATTTCTAAGTTAATAGTGTCTATTTTAAGATATATTAATCCCTTATGTCCTTGAGAAACATTCATACAGGAATTTCATTCTTGCCACTCCTCCAAAAGTGAAAAGGACTAAAGCAGCATCTTTTATCACAACTGTCTATGTCTTACATATTGTAGTGGATGTTTGAAAAAGGAAGGGGGAAAAAAATTGCATTTCACTTTAACAATGTAGCATGCTCCCTTCCCAGCCGTGTCAGAATGGGCAGAGAACATTCCCCAACAGACGATGCAAACACCAGACCCTTCTCTCCTAAAACTAACAGCTATGAAGAATCAGTGAATGCTTATGAAATTATTATGCTCACACCAAAATATGTGCATTTCCTATGCATTTATCATAATATTTAAATGGGAAAAAAAATTAACAGGAAAGCAGAGAACTCCTCAATTTCAAGCTGAATGACAATCACAATCCAGTAGCCAAGAAACAAATACCCCCAGCATCTTAGATTATTCCTTGAACCCACTTGCAGGTATGCCTAGCACCCAGTGAAAAGTATCAGCCAGACTCTGGTGACATTTAAGGTGAGACCTCAGACAGAGGTAAGAGGAAAAAACCTCAAAATTCAAATTTATTAGAAAAAAAAAAAAAGCAATCATATGGTGGTTTTTTTCTGTTCAGAAGACCATGAACTTGCTTTTACTGTAAACAGAGATGAACTGCTTGTCTAAAAAAAGCAACCAAGTTCAAGTGCTGTTACAGGCAACGAAGGTACTTTGACCCTTCTTCTCTCTGCCAGAAATCTGAATCAAACCCTTGGTTTTACAGGTAATGTTTGACCTTTCTAATTAGCATCAGCCACTTAACACAGAAAGCAGACTGAGAATAACACTGTGTTCTTTAGACCTGTAACACACAGAAGATCCTCATCTCAGTTTTTGTCCACCATAGCATGGTCACATCCACCTGCAGTTCTTTAGATCAGACCCCAGTGTTTATCATGCCCCTGAAGCAGGGCATAACTCCCACCACTGATACATGCAACCTTTGCTGACAGGAGAAACTTGCCATCTCCTGTAAGATTTAATTTTTATAAACTAATTATGATAAAATCTATCTCTGATAGTTGTAGCAGAAGACACAGAGATAATGGAGAATAATCAGAGCCTGGAAACTGAAAGAGGAGATAAAAATGATCAGAGCCTGAAAACTGGAAAGAGGAGATAAAACCAGTACTGGTTAATAACCATCCTGAGTCACTGCTGTGCAGCCTGTTCCAGCTGGCCATTTTTCTAATTCACTACGTCATTATTTTATTTTCAAAGGTATTCATTTTGAAATGAGAATGTATTATTTATTGTTGAGGTACTTTTATTACCTATTGAGACCCATTTCAGTGTAAGATGTGCAGTCAAGTATAATGACCTGTCCAGGAAATACATGTCAGAACTATGTTGCAGCATTACTGCTCAGTTTGAGGTCAGAGCTGAGAAGATGCATCCACATCCATCACCACAATGGAAAAGGCATTGTTCCATTCAGCAGCTGACAGGGATAGAATAAGGCTTGTGCACTTACATACACATTGATGATAGATGATAATGAACAGATTACTTTTCTGATCTTCAGTGATAACCATAGTCATGCATCAATGACTTCAAACAGCTTGCCTTTTTTTTTTTAATTCCTGAAGGGTAGATAATTTTCCTTCCTAATTATCAAAGGATAGTATATTTTTGGAAATATTTTCTAAAAGTTGTGACATCATCAATGGGTTATTTCATTAACAGAAATATTTTGCTTTAAATGTCTTCAAATTCAGAGGTTGTTAAACTCTTATATTAGAGGAAAAAGAAAAGCACAAGCACAGAGCAGATTGTATATAACTATTATTAGAATTATGCAAGGGTGCAGGGTTTTGGAATGATGAACAACTGTTTCATCAGCTCAACTCTCCACAGTTTCCAGTTTCTTAAAGAGAATTTCAGTTGGGAGTGTTCACATTTTTTTCCGAAAATAAACTCCAGCAGCTAACAAAAACCTTTCCATGTTACTTTTTCTACAGAGTTACTATGATAAGTATGAAACTTATCAACAAGTTTTATTAGAGGGTTCTTTACTTTGTGCTGTAACAAGCATTTTAGTAAAAAATAAATTGTGTCTGCAGACACCTTCCAATGTTGCAACATATTCCTGTCTTTACTGAATGCAGGGCAGTAATAAGCTGGACTTCAACCCACCAGGTAAAATGAACTTGTTGAACAGAAGGCACAATGATTTTTTTCAGCAACAGAATTTAAACCTGCATGGAAAAATGTCCTCTGGCTCAGCTGGATTCCACAGAGCCAACAAGCCATTCCAAAAGAAAAAGTCCAGCACTGGGAAATTCTCCTCCACAGATCTAACTGTTACCAAGGGGCATTGGCAAGTCTCTGACTCCAGAGGAGATGAAGCATGTAAGGGGACTGTCTCAAGTATAATTTTAATTACTATGTCCAAAGTAGGTGCTGAACCTTCTAGCAAACCATTTCATGTTTTTCTTGAGTAGCTAGTAACTGTGACATATACTGAACATTTTGCCTTGATTTTAGAAATCCTCACTCACTAAGCAGGACTTAAGCCAGATTTTTGTTTGGCAGGAGGCAGAGGCCAATAGGGTAAGGATGATTGACTCCTATGCCCATTTGATCTCATAGACTACCATTTGTTCCTGCGAGTAAAAAGAAGCTACATTTTGATCCTTTATTGGTTCTAATTGCCTTACATCAAGTTCCTGGACTAAACACTTAGATATATATCCATGTATTCATGTAACTAACAAGGCAATGTAGCAAGACACACAATCATTTCAAAGTGGTATTGATTCTGACAGTGTTTTGCCAAACACCTCTTTTTTTTCTGAAAGTACTCCCACTAATCAAGATTACAAGGTCATCTGCTATGTCACATCACATACATCTATTTCCTTCCATTGCTCAAAGCAAAAGGCTACTCCTCTCCCTAATTTTAGTTCAGGCCTTTCTCTCTGTTCATACAGCACATGAATACCTGAAATGCTGTTTTAACTTGCAAGTTTGTATTTGTGAACAGCCATTAACTGGAGTTAATTCTTAGAGTGCATTTCTCTGATGCTTACTATTTATACAGTTACATGTACAGAAATTACTCAATACTGATAATTTTCAACAGGCTTTGTAGTCTATTACCCTCACATCAGGGGGTTACCCTTTTATTGTGTTTTAGGAATGAATTGCTGGGTAAATAGAAAAAATGTTTGCCCTTAATTTGTTAATTCAAAGGGTGCAATCCTGTTGTAGGAATTTCTATATACACTTCTGTCAACAAAGTACTTTCACAGTGCTGGTATTTGGAGAAGAATGCCCTTGGATGGCTGCTAAGAGGTATTACGTAGCAATTACAGATCTTTACTAAGCGACTTAAGGAATACCTGTACAAGCAATTGAAAAGCCAGTGGAGATAATCAAATCTGCAGATTGGGTGCACTGGTTCCCTGGAAGCACTGTGACAAACTAACAGCATTGTTAAGTGAGCAAATGCACTTAGGACATTTATACTGAGCAGATCAATAAATACCCTGTAAGCTGCAACATTTCAAACAGGCAGAAAAAAAAAAATAATTAATTTAATTCTATCTGATTATGTGCTTCTGTTTATTGTAGACTAACCCAGTGATTTAAGGATTGCACATAAATCCTCCGCAGCAAGGACAGCATGCATGCCTACACATTGCTATTTATTTCAATTTGTTCCACTGTGTTTGAATGCTCAAGGACCAACAAACTTACATGACACACAGAGGTATTCAAAAAAAACATGAGTCAACACTCCCAAAACGAAAAAAGAACCTCTGCGTGATAGAGG